TCTCTAGATCTCCTCAGGTACGATCTGGGGAACATGTCAAAGAGCGACCTAATGTCCTGTGCAGTGGGAGCTTGTTCCCTCTGCAGTAGACGACATGATCGGATCTCAATCGGTCGAAGCAAAAGGTCCTCGGAGAACCCAAAGGCAGGGTCCTGAGCCCTGAGAGGCGGGGTTAAAGGGCACAAAACATCATCGTTGAGATCCTCATCCAAAGTCTTGGCATGGTCCTTTGGAGTTGCTGTGGACACCTCCTGAAAATCAGGGGCTGCATCATTTAGATCTATAACCTGGGAAGACGGCTTCAGGCTTGGGAACATACCGAAAAACGGCAAAGTAGCACTCTTTACTACTCTACTCTCTAAGCCTGTATGCTCGGGCGGGCGCCACAATAATCTCGAAACATGGTAAGAATTAGATAAAGCCCTGAGCCGCGCAAGCCGTCAGCACATTCTGTAAACATGCTTCTAGAGTTCAGTTCCAGGCTTGAACTTTGTGAAACAAGATAAACAGCTCGCAAAGCCTTGAAATGCCCCCTACGAATCTTACACGGCCATCTGCAATCCCCCGAGTTCTTCCATCGACCGATACAGTACCCGAATTAGGGATGTATTCCATCGCAACCTGAGCCATGATTTCAGGAGTATGGAACAGCTAAGATCGGAAATTCTCTTGAGGCCGGGAAGCCCTACACACCCAACTACGAAGCCCTACACACCCAACTACCCTACCCAAAACGTCCTAGAAACTAAGTTGTCCTTTAGGCCCTTTGAAAATTATTTACTATTATGGTTCTCTACAAAATAGTAATGGAAATTAAAAAAGATCCCAAAAGACAACCCAGTAAAAGCCAAACCCTACACCCCAAGAGGTCTGCAACGCTCGCCTGGTCATCCAGGATATGGCGGCCCTGGGCTGTTTCAAGTGCCGGAACCTCAAGCAAGAACAAGGTTTAGGATTTAGGGTTTGTGAACGTATTTAGGTTTTACATGTAGGTTCTCCAGATTTCTCCAGGCTATAGCTAATATAGAGGCCTTGATAATCAGAATAATAGGGTTTCCGGGCCCACTGTATTATAATTATAATAATGACCCCCCAAAACAGTATAGGTAATTATTTAGGCCGCTACATTACGTCAACTGCGGTTCCAGAGCTTGTGCGTCTTTTGGAGGGTGGGTTGGGACGTGAGGCATCCCATTTTGGGGTTTAGGGTTTAGAGTTTAGGGTTGGGTTGGGCTCTTCTAGGGTTCTCGCTGACAGTTCTCACACCGCGCTGGGAGCCAAACCTAAACCCTTCCAACATCCTGCCCTAAACCCTTTAAGGAATACTCCTTAATTAAGGGATATTGGAGTCTCTGGGTTGCCAGAATCCTCCACTCGTCATGGAAAGCCCGGCTTTGTCCATCCGGATGACTGAGCCATGGGCCATAAGCCCTACCTTCCCTTTAGAAGCATCCTTTACCTCTACCTGGGACCCTGAGAAATCTGGTTCCTGAATATGATTTCCTTGTATAAGTCCTTAAAGAAGGTAGGTCATCTGGGGTTAAGCCACAACATAAAACACCCGACACAAACATGACCAAGTACACTTCTGAAGCTTCCGCACAAAAGCCGAAACTCGAATCCAAGAGTCTCAAAGCCCTAAGGTATAAGGCTTCATTTACGGGTCATAGGGGTGCTGAGTTATTGGTCCTGTAAACTGATAACAATCCCTGGTCGAATGATTGAGGCCCCTATATTTCACTGGAACCGATGTATCGAAGAGGCATAGCTTTGACTGTACCGGGTCTGGAGTTCAGCAAAATTCAGGGACTGCGGGGCCCAAAAACCATAAAATCCTACAACCCCTACAACCCTAAAACCCTAAACCTTAAACCCTAAAGCCCTAAAACCCCAAAGCCCAAAACCCTAAAGCCCTAAAAGAACCCTAAACCCTACAACCCTAAACACTCATTTATGATAACGGGAGCCGGAAAGAAGAGCCTGAAATCTCCACGGTCCAAGGATATCTAGGTTGCTCCGTTAAAAGCCTCTGAATCTTCGCAAACAAGGCCCTCCAAGGCCCTATAAAGGGGAATGGATAATGGCCCAAAGCCAAAGGCCTAGTGTAGGGGATTTAATAATTAGAATAAGGCTTTGGGGTATATTTATACTATAGTTAGAATAAGGACCCCCCAAAAAAAAACAAAAATAGCATTAGTAATTATTTTCAGGCCCCTATAGTATCTAGTAGCCCGTTAGAACCCATCCATCCAGGAACCCTTAGAGGTGCCGTTGTAAGGCTTTAGAGACTTCCCAGAGAACCCAATACCCCGTAATTAAGGAATATAGACCTTAAACTATAGGGGCCTTAATGTTAAGATTTATAAGGTACATTCCTTAATTAAGGGGTATTGGGTTCTCTGGGTTTAGAGCCTTAAAGATGCTCATTCCAAGGCACACAGAAGGGCTGCAGGTCCTTGGGCGGAAATCGGAACTTGGGACGGAACAAGCAAAAACCGGTTCAGGGTTTAGGGCTTTTGGGTTTTGGGGTTTTAGGGCTTTAGGGTTTACGTTTAGGATTTAGGAGTTGCGGCGCTCACACTCGGACACTCCAGGCGAAGCATGTGGTTCGAGGTCTGACGAGTATAGAGGTTTGAGGTTTTGGGGTTTAGGTAAGCGGCTTCTAGGTACTGTAACGCTTAACAGCCTCCTGCGGGCTGACTATGGTTTGTGGTTCAACGAACAAGTCTACACGATAAGGGGCGTGTGCTTGCAAAAATAGTGTGCGTGTTCACTCCTTCATGTTTTATATCACGGAAAGAACCCAATGAAGCTCTAAACAAGTCACAGAAGCAACTGCCTTGGCCCACACCACAGGATGTTGGTGCTGTAGGAGTTTAGGATAGCATGCTTGCGGGTTTGGGGGTGGGGTTTGCGACGGTCATCGAATGCTGGAACCCGTGCCGGCCCACGCCCATGCAGCTGTCTGCCCTAAACCCTAAACCTTAAACCTAAAATCATAAACCCCAACCACTAAACCTTCAAACACTAAACTTCATTGATGTCACCCCCATGGGAATAGACGTCGGGCTTCCGCTTGGACAAACCTGCAAGGGTTTACAGAAACCTAGGGCAATTACAGGGTTTAGGGTTTAGTTAGGTGCTTTCCTGTAAAAGGACACTACTATTCAAGCTCCCTATCTCATCAAACTTCCATTGGTTGGGTGATTCGAACGAAACCTACGAACCCGAAGCAGGACAGCAAAGGGACGCACGAATTGACTCAGGCTTGTCGCACGAATTGACTCAGGCTTGTCAGGGCAGCCAGTGCGAACCCTCAACTCGCAACTCGAAGACAAATCCGAACCGTAACCGGGCTTTCCAGAAAAATATATACTTTGTTTCTTAAAAGCCAACCGGAACGGATTAAAGGTAGTCCAGAACTCAGTAAACCCTCACCCGCACAACCAAGCTTCGAAATGCTCCACAGCTCCCACCAGGAGGCTGTAGGCATCAGCCTCTCGCATATCACGCATATGTCCCTGGCTTACGGGATTCGTGAATCTTTGTTTTCCACAAGCCCCTGATAAGATACCAGCAAGTAGGTTTAGGTTATGGCTTCAGGGTCGGGTCAGGGGGTTGGGTGGGTTCTGGCTCATTTCGTTGGGTTTACAGCGGTTACCAGGGCTTGCAAAGGGGTTAGGGTTTGGGCTTAGGGTTGTTTACAGTCGGCTGTTCCGACCGCACTCAAACCTGTCGCCTTACCGGTCGAGGTTGAGGACGTAGACGCAGAGCTCTGGTTGAAGGACTTGTAAATGCTTGAGGAGGCACAACGGAAATTGCTACGCATGAGTGGGTACACATATATATATATATGTATGCCAAAATAAGCACCTATGCGTACGTTCAGCACATGAGCTCAGTCTGTCTTTAGGACGTTAGGGTCAGGGATTAGTTAGACCGTTCCTCTAACAGTAACTCTTTATGGGGTTTTGGGTAGCAAAGAAAACACTAAAATCTGGACAAGTGAACACTTGTTTGGGTACCAAAGTGAACACTTGTCCTGGCCCGGTGAAAACTTATTCTGGTGCAAAAGTGGACACTTGTCCTGGCCTGGTGTACACTTATTTTGGTGGGAAAGTGAACACTTACCCTGGCCCGGTGAACACCTATTTTGCTGCAAAAGTGAACACTTATCTTGGCCCGGGGAACACCTATTTTGGTGAAGAAGTGAACTCTTATCCTGACCCGGTGAACACCTATTTGGTGAAAAAGTGAACAAGTATCCTGGCCCGGCGAACACTTATTCTGGTGGGAAAGTGAACACTTATCCTGGCCCGGTAAACACTTTTTGTGGTGGGAAAGCCAGAAATAGGTATTTTAAACACCGGAAATAAGTGTTCACCGGGTCAGGATAAGTGTTCACGTTCCCACCAAAATAGTGGAAATTCAATCTTGTGGTGGGAAAGTGAACACTTATCCGGGCCAGGATAAGTGTTCACTGTCCCACCAAATAAGTGTTCACCGGGCCAGGATAAGTGTTCACTTTCCCACCAAAGTAAGTGTTCACCGGGCCAGGATAAGTGTTCACGTTCCCACCAAAACAAATGCTCACCGTGCCAGGATATGTGTTCACTTTCCCGACATTAAATGTTCAAAACCATACCCAAACATAACCGAAACCCCGTCTAAAGAGAGGGGTCGTTTTACTGTTACAGGCAGGGTCTAAGGGATTAGTACACACATTCCAAGTACGGCGCCTCACTTAGAACTGCAACTACAGCCTACGTGCTTGTATAGTCCCTCGATCCTGCAAGCAGCGCATCGTAGACTTCCCACAACAAAATGCTCGGTCAATACTTGTAAAAACGTCTGTGATCCAGCCGGGCCTGTGCACAACTGCCCAGATGGTCATATCTGCGCAGGGCTCTCCAGGCACAACCCAGTACAAAGCCTAATCTTGATGAGGCGATAGTCCTGCAAGCCGCACGATCTTCACTTGGAATCTCAAAGCATACATCACCCAAAACAGTAGAATACTTCCACATGGGCTCGGTAACCAAGGAGCCCACAATATAAACCCTCGATAGTAGGATCCCTGTTCTAAGGACCCTGCAAACCACCCCACCTTAAGGACAGCCCCCACACAGACCCGTCTGCAGCAGGCTCGGGTGCTCACCCCGCAAAGCCGTACGGTTTACCATCCACCTTTCTCCGGTAATGCATGCGGACATCATGCGCAGGGGTTCTGGCGGCTACAAGTAGACCCCAACGAAAACCCTAAAGCCCTAAACCCTGAACACTGAACCCTAAACCCTAAACCCACCCTAAACGAAACTCCACTTGTTTCGCACATCCGGCCTCTCTTCCAACCGTCGCCAGCAGAAGCGAGGCCAGAATCGCAAGGTCTGGGTTAAACCCAATCGGCCTCTCACACCTAGCTCTTCATGTTAAGGGCGTTCCTTTACATTGGGGTCTCCGTGATGGTTTTCTATCGGTTTCTATGAAACTTCTATGCTATAGGCTGCGCAGTGGTCTCCTTCTGGGCTCGTGCTTGCAATTCGAGGTTTATGGTGCAAGGCAGTCGTGGTCTTATGTTGTCATGTTTCAATCTGATGCCCACCTAAACCCTGAACATCCCTGAAACCCTATGAACACACACAGACCTTATGATAAATCATCTCTTCCTCCTCGCATCCAGGGATCCAGTTGCACGATTTTTTTGTTTGCTGACACTGTTAGCCTCGTCGTAAATTCTTTTTCATCAACAACTCCTTCCCGCCCAAGAGTTTAAAAGTGCGGCCAAGAAGGCCTGCCACCAGGGTTAATGCTAAACAATCAGTTCAGAACTCAACTCACAAAGTCAAGACCCCCCCCCGGAAGTGCCTGTATCTTAGCGCCAAAGCTCTTAGAACACGTCGCAGCTCTTCACGTGCGCCCACGTGGCCGTAGTTTGCATGGCGAAGCTCCTGGTCAAAATATGAGATTTCCGCCGATGCCGACAACTGTAGGAATAATCAGCCAAAGAAGCGTAGTATAGAGGCCTTAATAAGTAGAATAGGTTTTGGGGGTCCATTATACTATAACTATAACTATAATAAGGAACCCCCCAAACCCTATTCTAATTATTAAGGACCATTTTATTATAACTATAATAAGGAACCCCCAAAACCCTATTCTAATTATTCACTATCTTAGAAGAGCAAACCAAAAAAACGCAAACATACCTTTTTCTCCGCGAAATCCTTGACAAAAACACACATCCCGGCCCATGCAGGATGAACTCCCGCCAAACATCCGAAATTCAGGTCTTCGGGTGTCGGCTTGCAGTTGCTATTTTGATTGCTCTCTGCTTTTATTTGCGAGCATCCTCAGCGTGAACAGGCCCAGTGTTCAGTGCATTTTCTTCATCAAGAAGCTTTCTTTATGTTGATAAAGGATGCTGGTAGCAGAAACAGCGCCTGGCCAACAAGTGCTTATGAACAAAGAACGGAGCTATCCAGCCAAAGGCCGTTTGAGCATGTATGCTCGGGAAGCGGGATTCTTGATGCTCAGCCCAGCTGGAAGACCGGCTGCCGCTTCAGGAGTTGTTGTGAAGGGTGACAAGTTCTTCAAGTGTTTGAAGAGTCTGCCTTTAAACTTCAACCCCTGAACTCTAAACCCAAGACCTTGTCTGTCTGAAGAGAGGAACATGGGTGGAAGTCCTACACCCTAAACTTAAATCCAAATCAGGTTTCCAAGTAAGATTGAGGTGGGAGTCAGCGGTTCTTTCTCTCACTTTGCATAATTCACGCTGCTACTTCGGGTCTGTCACGGGTGATGGCCTGTCCAACCTCGGAGCACCAATACTCAAACCGCCCAAAAGCCCTAAACCCTGTGACCCCAAACCCCAGACCCTAACCTAAAAACTCTAAACCGTAAGACTCCAACCCTTCACCCCAAACCTTCTAAACCCGAAGCCCTAGACCCTAAAGGCCCTAAAGAAAAAATGAAAGCCTATTGTCGTCAGCCCAGGGCACCAGCGCGAGGAAGCTCTCGTCAGGCTCTCCAGCTAAAGCTGCCGGAGCCGGCTGGCGTCGCAGTTTCTGATACCTCCACGGCTTTTGTTAGGGCTTGGAGTTTAGGGTTTAGGGTAAATTAGGGCTTGAAGTTTAGGGCTTCGGGATCATTAGGGTTCAGCGGTTTACCGATAAACATGTTGCAAGCGGATCTGTGCCGATCGCTTTTAGGAAGCCCTTCCGTGCCCTCGCATTCAGCGACATATTGAGGGGGGGATAAACGTTGCTAAAGCAGCTTCAGCATCCTAGCTCGACAAACTCTCCAAACCCCAAACCCAATCCCTTTACCCTAAAGCATCCTAAACGTCCAAACCCGAAATCCCAAACACCCCTAAAGCCCTAAAGATCCCAAAGCCCTAAATATCCCTAAAAATCCAGAAGCTCATCCCAAACCCTAAACCCTTTTAACTTTTAAACCCAGACCCTAAATCCTAAACCCTAAACCCCTAGACCCTAAATCCTAAATCCTAAACCCAACCCCGGCTCAGAGGCTCAGGCCCGCCGTGACCGGCACTCGGACTTCCAGGTTTTGGGTTTAGGATTCAACATGTGCCCAAAGGTAAGTAACATAATGGCCCAATATTGCCCAATACCAATGTAAGGCTATTATTCTACATACTTTCGGGGTCCAGGTAGGAGAAAGGATGTAGGGTTTCGGGTTTAGGGCTTAAAACTGTCTGCCATGAACAACCAAAGCCCTGAATCGTATCAACAGCCCTGAAACCAGGCGAAGGTCTTGCCGGGCGGCTCCCTTTTCGCAACCTCCGGCGTCCGGCAAAGAACATTCGCCCAGGCACCAGCCCTGTCAGACTTCTTAAACAAGACAACAAATGGACACAATAGCAAACAACAGCAGTAAGAATGGACATGCCTGGGGAGGTAACGCAGGTCGTGGTCGTTACCACCGTGGTGGTGAAGTAGTGTTGCCGCGGGTATGTGGTGCTTCGATCTCCTCGCTTGTATTGGTGATGCCGTCGCCGTCGTCGCTGTATTCGTGGTCATCGTCGGTTGTTGTCGTCGTCGGTGGTCGTCGTGGTCGTCGTCGTCGTGGAGAACTGAAGGGCCCAAGGACCACAAACACCCCAACCGCAAAATAGGGCCAGGGGGGAGAGGGAGGTGAGGTGACGACTGTACTAGCATTACGATACTATGTATTTCGCTTAGGATTATCAGGATGTTGATTATCAGTATTCAGTCTTCTAGCTTTTATAAGCTTTTTTAAACAGCCTCGTCCTTCCAGCAGCTGAGAGTACCTATATGTTCAAGATGCGGGTTATGGGCTGGGGCGGTTTGCGCTGACCATCACAGGTAAAGATGCGATCTTCCAGGGCATGATGAGCATTGCCTCCCACCGGTCAGCTGGCGCCAAACCTCATGCGATGCCATGGGCTGTCAACCAAACATGATACTTTTGATGATCTAAACCCTGCATGACCTTAAGGACCCTATGACCTTAAGGACTCTAAGCTATGGGAACTATGGTATATTCCTGATTCTGGGTAATGCAGGATTTATATCATCAACCGATAGTAGGCATGATCGAGTACCCTAAACCCTAAACCCCTTAACCCGTCGGAACGCATTTTCCGTGGGGGGTCATGGTGCCGTGATTACGTTTGCCATCCTGCCGAGGGTGCCGGGCGAATCCATGCGTGCAGCCATGGCTTCAGGTACCCGGGACCGGTTTAGGGCTTAGGGTTTAGGGTTTAGGGGTTTAGGGGTTAGGGGTTAGGGTTTAGGGGTGTAGGGTTTAGGGGTTTAGGGTTTAGAGTTTAGGGTGTAGGCTTTAGGGTAGGAGCTAGAGGTGCTGACGGTTTCAGGTTTGGGGTCATGCAAGACTTGTGTGCATGACGGCTTACGAGTAGGGGGCTGGAGTTGCTTGTTGAGAGCTAGCTCAGAGGGGGTTTTATATTTTATGGGGTGAAGCACTCGGTTGATCTAAGACGACCGCGCTTCCAAAACAAAGTTCCGTGGCTGCAACGTCTCGAAGTCCTAGATTTTGCTATGCCGAGGGTTCTGGGTGTCATTTATTTACACCTCGCCTCAAACACTGTTCTTCCACGCTCCCCCGGTCCTGGCTTGGAAAGGTGTTGTCCCCTTGATCCACGAGACATCGGATTTCAGGTGGCAAAGACAATCTCCCGTCTATATCCCTTAAACCAACTAAAGTGTAGGGCTAAGGTTTGTAACCCTAAGTGGGAATATTGGAGGCTAAGGAACCTAACACTAAACACTAATGCCAGGATCCTTCTTGAAACGACTCCTGACTAGGGCATTAGCACCCCTATCGCAGTTTATAACAGGGCAAAAGGGCGCTCGTGCCACTGGACCATGCAGTGCTCTGCGGCCACCTCTTTGATCTGTGCTCCTGGGCTCGAAGATGTATTGGTTGCCGGGTTCTGTAACTGAGGGGCTGAGTACCCAAGGTAGTCTCAGGATTTCTGTTTAGGCTTCAACCATGAACCCCCAAAATGCCAAACTTTTGAAGTGTATTTTGCTTCTGGTAGGAGTTTATGTAAACAGGCAGGTTGATTGAAGGTGACCCAGCCCCTTGGGTAACAAGGTGTCCCTGAACGCCACCCCAAGCAATCATCATCTGTTTGATAGTGCTTCAGAGAGAAGGTGCGGAATGAGCCACAAGGATGCGACTGCCCACTCTTGGGGCTTCGGATTGATAACTATAACCCGAAACCATCCCAAACACACTTACAGGATTTCTGGCATAGTGTAGAGGCCTGCATGGGTTTTTTTGGGACGGCTGGACCTGCAAATCAGTTCGCAGTCAGAAGTATCATTACTAATGACTCAGGCCCTTGATTATTCACGGACATCTGTCGGTCAGAGAGAGACATACCTGCGGGTCCAAGGCTCGGAACCAGCGACCGTTCCGGGGGTATTCGGCCCAGACTTCTGCGCCAACTTCGAAGCGGTCCTTCGTGTGTTTGGCGCTTCTGCGAGGCTGATAGCAAGGGTTCTGTCTATTACAAAGGTTTTCCATCTAGGGTTGCAGGCTTTCGGGTTGGGGGTTTTGGTGTTTAGGGGTCAAGGGGTGCAGGGTGTGTGGTGGCTGAGGGTGGCTTGAGACGGTGTGGGCACAGTCTCATGGTCTTACAGTTGTCTTTTGGCAGCTCTTTTCTCAGTTGCGGTGCTCTGGTCATATTGTACGTTGTCCTACTGAGACACCTTTCTGAACTACAACTACACACGCGAGCCTTCTAGCAGTCCGAGACTGGCAGGTTTACTTGCCAAAGAACTCAAGGCTGTGTCTTGCCTTAAGCGCGACTCCGAACCATGCCAGACATAAGATCCTTTACAATCACTTGGAGTTTTCGTACATTACTTAAAAGTAATTCCTAGGAGCACTTCGGGATCAGGGTTCAGAGGTTTGGACTTCAGGTGTCAAGTGCAGGAATTAGGGTTTACAGGTTCCGATTTGCTTTTACCTCCCTCCCGCCCAGCTAGGACGAGCCTACGCCGCAGGGTTTAGGGTTTGGTGTTTAGGAAGCGGGATTTCGGTGTCTGCCAGGGCTTTAAGCCCAAACTTTAGGCTACTTGGGTCGTCACGGGGCGGTAAGACATGAAATCGGGATGAGCTGCATTAACACAAGTGCTGAATCAGAACACCCACCCCTCCGCCCTCGAAAAAGGCAAAGACGAGTTCCTAAATCCTACTTCGTACGCGCTAAACACCGTGTTGCCGTATCAAGGTTTGGGCTCACAGTAGAATCTCTCGCTACTTCAATAACCAGGCCATAGCGAATTCAAGCTTGTCTACGTCGAGCCCGAAACCCTAAACCTGCTGAGCCTCAAATGTACCGAATACAACCCGACAAGTGGAAAGCCATCCCGGTTTAGGGTTTAGGAGTTTGGAGTTTAGGGTTTATAGTGCTTGTAGTGTTTAGGGTTTAGGGTTTATAGGGTTTAGGGTTTCCTAGTTGTGCATACTCTTCAGCACAGGGAAGGAACTCCGAAGTAGAACTGTTAGAACTGTTCAAGACCCCTTACAGCAAATCACAAAACAAAACCACTCGTCTCGTCTCACTAAGTCCCCAGATCCTTCGAGAAGAGAGTTCTTCGGACTGTCATGAGAGAAGGCCTGTTGAACTGCTGTTCTACAGCCCTAAACCCTAAACTCTATAAAGTTCTATAAATACTTATCATACATATCATAGCAAGTTACATTGCATACAGCTCAATGTGGCAAGCCCCGTGATCTTTAGGCTGTAGCACTGTACCTGTCACGACACAAAAACGTCGACAACGTTGACCAACCAAAACCAAAGAACACGTTGCTAGGAACCTACACGCCTAACGGCCGCAACGAGGTTTGAGACCAAGGTGCGACAAACGGCTCCCCCAAAGGTTGAACGATGGCCTTCCTTGGAGCAGCATGTAAACAATCTCAAAGGAATACTCGACAACAGTAAAGATGCTACCAGCTATGCTCATCTCTGTGCTAGACACCACCACCACCACCTGAGTGCAGTGGTGGTGGTGGTGGTGGTGGTGGTGGTGGTGGTGGTGGTGGTGGTGGTGGTGATGGTGATGGTAGACGTACGTAGAAGAAGAAGAAGAAGTAGTAGTAGTAGTACTACTACTACTACTACTACTGCTACTACTACCACTGCTGCTGCTGCTCCTACTCCTACTCCTACTCCTACTCCTACTCCTACTCCTACTCCTAGTCCTACTCCTGCTACTACTGCTACTACTGCTGCTACTACTACTACTACTACTACTCCTGCTACTACTACTACTACTACTACTACTACTACTACTACTTCTTCTACTTCTACTACTGCGACAGTACTGCACCAGCAGTGGCAGTAGCGGCAGCTTGCTTGCTCTTGTTGTTGTTGGTTGTGCTACTGACTGGTGGTGTGGTTGACGTTGCTGCTGTCGTTGTGGCTGCCACAGTTGTTGCTGGTTGTTGGTTGTTGGTCGTTGGTGGGTTGCGGTGGAGGTGGCGGTTGTGATGGCGGTGGTGGTGGTAGTGGGGTACTGCTCATGTTGGCCCCGGGGATGCTGCAGTTGCTGCTGAAACCCAACAACTGTGGAAAGGAATTTGAAGACGCGGTTCTGTCGTGCACTAAATCTGGTTTGTAGTAGTGTGTCTACCAACACGATGAGGCCGAAGGACTTCGGGTAGTTGCTTGAGGCACCGGGTCTTCGACAGCAGTGCAGCACAGTAGAACGCAACAATATCAGAAAACCTTTGAAACCCATGCGAAAGAGTCTGTAAGAGGCACAACGGCGGTCAGATCAGACAAACCTGCCTGCATCATGTTGCATAGCTTCTTACCTACCAATAATAAATCATGCATTCTACACCTTTTGCGCCGTATGTGCACATATGTATATAAAAAAAACCTTGCCGGAATTTCCACTGATGGGGTTACAGAATGATACGTTGCTATGCAAGTGCTGTACCTGCAAGCTACCAGCCAAAAACACAGTCCAAAAGCACGTAAAAAACCTACAACAATTCAAACAAACCATCTCTTCATCCATCCGTCCATCCATCCATCCATCCATCCATCCAGCGATCCATCCAGCGATCCATCCATCCACTCATCCATCCGTCTACACGTAGATACGTACATACATACATGCATGCATGCGCACATACATACGTACGTACGCATATACTCACATACAGGCAAACAAACATACCGACAGACAGACAGACAGGCAGACTAACAGGTATACATTCATACATCCTCGGCTTTTGCAGACATAGAGAGTCTGACTGTCATGATTGCCCCTGCGCTCACTAGCAGAAACAGTCCTACCAGCATCCAAACACCTGCACCCTACCTGATGAATCGAAGGAATACAAGAAAACACCCTGGACCCTAACCCCTTAATCCAGTGAGACACAAAATAAATAACTTAACTTCTTCGAACAAAAGCACCACGAGGAAGAGACTACAGGTTCATGGATGAGCCGTAAACACGCAAACCCCAGCCCAGCAGAGCCGCACCCCCCTGCTAAATATGTTTCATCCAAACAGAACTCACGACAAGAAAAGCCGGGGTTTTGATAAAACCCAAAACCCTATGAGCCCCTATAAACCCTGCACCCTAAACCGTCCTCCTGATGTCACAACACCGAAAAGGAGCACAAATGAGAGGCGGCAGCCACCAGAGACCCTGAACTGGCTCCGAAGACACCGAGGACTCTGGAATATCCCATCACTTTGGGTTTACACTCTCACAACTCGGACAAGCCAAGCGAGGATTCATAGGTGCAGAAGTCGGCGTGATGCATTGATGTGGGGGATGCCATGGGTTTAGGGTTTGAAGAACAAAGGGGGTTTAGGGTTTAGGAACCACCTGAAAACACGACAAGAACAGCAATGAAAATCTAAACCAAGTCATGTACGGGTGCCAAACCCCAGACCCTGCACGGTTCACCCCCAACCCTGCACTGTGAACCCTAAATATCCTAAAACCCCAACTCTGACCCCCCAACTCCCTACACCCTGTAACTTTAAACCCCTAAGACCTTATAAATCCTAAACTCCCAAACCTTACAGGGCTGGGCCACCACCACTCCAGGAGCTCTTGAATCTTCCCTCGGACGGCCTGCGGGCCAATGAAGGGCTCGAATGCAGATGCAGCCAAAACCCTAAACGCTGAATCCTAAAGTTAAGGTTAGG